CCCTATCCGGCGCAGGTACTTCCCGAAGCATCCGTGCCCGGTCAGCACCTGCACCAGACGAAAGGTGAGACGTCCCTCGCCACGATTCACCCAGTCATCAAAGACTGGGTAAACCGCCTCGACGGTCCGTAGCCCCCACGTGGGGTTGGCCAATCGCCTCGACCACGACTCGAGCACGGACCGCCGAGAATGGGCCTTCCGCGCCCGCAGCTCACTTTCGGGGAGACGCGCCACGCCCCGAGCACGAAGCTCGCTGCGCCACCGATAGTCGGCAGCGAGCGACTCCGCCTCCAGCTCCAATAGCGGCGTCCCCGCCAACACACACGCCGCCTCGAAGGAGACGGTGCGATATCCGCGGATGACCCTGATGGCAACGGTGCGCTGCGGCCGGCGCAGGAACCGAGCCATAGTGGCCCGGTTGCGCGGCTCAGCGCATACAGGTGCACCGTACAGGGCCATCGATCGCACCACCCCCGTGTAGAGGCGGCGCACAACCTGATCCGGTCCCCCAATATTCGGGAGCAGCCGGCTCAAAGAACCGGCCGTCCTCATCAATCGGGGGACCAGCTGAGCAAAGTGAGCACGAAAATCCCACCGGCTGTCCAACACGAGGCCGAGGTACTTCAACTGCACCCCGACCCCTATCCGGACGCCTCCAACCACGATGTGGGTGTCAACGGGTGGCGCCCTCCGCGGCCCGTGAAACCACAGAGCCTCGGATTTACTGAGCGCCACGTCGAGACCCAGCCTCTTTATCCTTCCGACGACGAGGGCCACTCCCGCTGTGGCGAGACGGGCAGACTCTCTATAATCATCCCCCCGGGCCACGACCAACGTGTCGTCCGCGTAACAAATAACGCGGAGGCCCGGGAGGAGGGCGCCCCTCAGCACCCAGTCGTACCCGATATTCCACAAGAGGGGGCCGAGAACTGACCCCTGTGGAACACCACGCACGACCGGAAAACGGTGAAGGGTCCCACCGTATCCGGTACATACGACCGACCTGGCCCCCAAATAGGACCCAACCAGCCGGCGGAGGTAGAGGGGCACTCCATGCCTCTCCAGTGCCCCCCCATCACGGTCCAGGGCAGAGTGTTAAATGCGTTGGCGATGTCAAGAGACACCGCCAGCGCCACCCCACCCCGAGAAACGGCCTCGTCCGAGAGGGACCGCACGCGAAGAATTGCATCCACGGTCGAACGGCCCTCCCGGAAGCCGTAGTTGGCGAGCCTTGGCCAACATTTGTAGCGGTGGTTAAAAAATCGGTAATTTTGTTTAAAATTTAATATTATTTATTAGTTAGCTTAAAATATACCTAACGTATACTTCATGTACTTACCGAAAGTAAGATACTCCGGCCGTTAAATTGCTTTTATGGGCATTTTTTGCAACTTTTGAATACACACTGCGGCATTGTGAGACGGGTTGACATTGGCTGTGTCTGATTTGAACTAAACAAAATAACAGCTCACATTTCAAGTGCGCTGTTATTTAACGAGACGGATTTTTGCGCCGACCCGAAATCTAGTTACTATTGTTGATCGAAGCATAATACAATTAAGATTTCGTATCTTAAAGTTGGACGCGTTGGGTGTCCCCCTGCCCAGCGGACAGATTTTTTGACAGATGACTTACGGTGATGTGTTGGTAAAGATTGGATGCGGAAGGCGGAGGACCGTTCATTGTGGCGGGCTATGGGAGAGGCCTACATCCAGCAGTGGAGAGATACAGGCTGATGATGATGATGATCTTAAAGTGGATGGCAGCATTCACGTTGTGATGTACATTATTATGGTCTCTGGAACCACTCAAAGTTTGACGGGCCATGAGCTTGTTGGGTGCATCCCAGTAGTACTCCATACCTGTATATAGTTCTATAGAACTGTTGGGATATTCACCATGCTTTCAAATTTTATCCTAATAGTTCTATATGGTACTGTAGTATGGTTTTTGCTATTGACTTTACTTATAGCATTATGTTAAAAACTTTATATTTTTTTAATTGATATTTTATTTTTATTATACATCCGAGATTTGATTGATCTGTATCTCGGTAAATATTTGTTTAAATTCGAAGATCCGACTTCATTCGCAGCATTGACAATTTCTTTGTAAACCGAAAGAACAGTAATTTTTTTCAATTTTTTGTTATCATTTACTTCCCTAGTAACAATTACCGAAACTAAAAGTTCGATAACGTTTGATGTACAATTCGCAGTTTCAGTTTATCAATTTCTTTTTCCTTAAATTGAACAAAGCTAATATAGAATCCGATTAATATTAAAAATCCTAAAGTTTGATGCGGGTGTTGGTGTGTTACTAAAACGTATTTGAAAAAGGCATATATGTAGTTTTAAGGTAGACACACTTAGGTGGGTCTCTTACCCCTACCCTATAAATTATCACTCTATCGGAACGCTTTTGTAGACAGGTTGAAAAGGAACTAAGGGCAAAAAGATTGATAAACGAAATTTATGGGATATAAAAAAAGATCGTTATGCTTACTCTCCATAGTAGAAAGGGCCATTGATTTAAAACTCTCTGGAAAGGACACCATCTCAATGTACCTATTCAAAAGTGTCCGCTGAAAGGAAGCAAATTTAAGTAGCGCCATAAACTACCACACTACTTCAATCATATAATTTCCAATTTCCACAATAGCACTATTTCGGTCAGTCTACCAACAACAATTTTGATGTTTACAGGTGGGCACTTTTTAAACCTGTTCCCTGTACAAGATGGTATTCCTTACCTCTACCCTCCATAGTTAAGCTATACCAATAGCCGTCGTGTGTGGAAAGCAAAAATCTCAGAAAATCTTTACTTGGATTCGTTTAGGATTGTCAGCTATTTTATCCTTTTTTTGTTTAAATATACTCGAAAAAACACATCTGAATTAAAATAAATATTTATATTAAAACTTAAAACACTTGAAATAAATACATGTTAGATTAATAATTTAAACTTTAGATTAAATACCTATCAATCGCATCTCCATGTTCAGATTGGTTATCTATAGTACATAATATGATCGCCTCTAAAGATTCTAATAAAAAATGACAATAGCTTGATCATCGATTTTTTCAAAACCGATAATTTTTATTTATTTTGCTAACTAGTTCTGAAATAAAAATACCTTTTTGGTTTGTTTCTACAATTGCATTTGAGAACAATATTTCATCATCATAAAGTATTTTAAGTAGAAGTGATGACTTAATGTAATATTTATAAATAGATAGTTTTCTTTACATAAAATATTGGAAAAGTTANAAATAGCTTGATCATCGATTTTTTCAAAACCGATAATTTTTATTTATTTTGCTAACTAGTTCTGAAATAAAAATACCTTTTTGGTTTGTTTCTACAATTGCATTTGAGAACAATATTTCATCATCATAAAGTATTTTAAGTAGAAGTGATGACTTAATGTAATATTTATAAATAGATAGTTTTCTTTACATAAAATATTGGAAAAGTTAATTTAACCAAACGTCATATAGTATATTGTCTTCTGCATCATTATCGTTTATAACTCTGAGTGTCTTTAGAGTTTGTAAGTAAAATGTCAATTCAGAAGTCACTACACCATGTTGAGGGCTTCCATTAGCAACTATATTCATTTTAATTAGTTGTTCTCTTAATTTATCTTTAAAATTATCATGTACTCGTTTGTATATAAACTTTATTTGTTCAGGTGGCAAAATATCAATTAATGCTTCATGTAACTTCACTAAATGTTTTGAAATATTGCGGAATGTTTGAGAAGGAACTGGGGGCTTTGCATCCCACCCTGTTAATTGAGAACATAACATATTACTTACAATTAAGCAAATCTTATTTTCTATTTCCTGTTTATGGCTAGCAATATCACTCTCAATAGCAACAAAACCGCTCAATGATACCTCAGAAGAATGTATTTTCTCTAACAGCTGTTTTATCATAGGTAAAAACCATAATATAACCTGTAAAGATCGAGATACTAGAGCTAAATTGGATGTAGAAATAGTTTTAAGTCCAGCACTTTGTATTGCCCCTGCACCGAGAACAAGTTGGCAGCACCGAGAATTAAACAATCTTAATAATTCTAACATACAATGAACTAAATACTGAACTATAATGGGAGATTGTCTGGTTGCATCACAGTATTCTAATAAAATTTTTATAAGTAGTTGAACTGTCCCTACCAGAGCATAGCTTTCTTTGTTTATAAAAAGATATTTTCCGTCTGGTTTCCCACTTTCATACAGTAAATTAGGAGGTATTTCTTGAATTTCACATATTTTTGTGATTGCACTTTGCAATTCATATGGAACATCTGCAGTTTTCCATCGTTCAGCATTTAGAGAAGCTGTTAATTGAGATCTGCGTTCAGTGTGAAGTGTCTGTATATACTTCATAGCAAAGCTCCTTAGGGCCAAATTCATGGCATTACTACAATATCCGGTGACATCCTCACATTTGGTGCAAAATTCTTTAATCAAATTTGATAGGAGAGATAACTGTGACATATCAGAACACACATAATCTTTGTCTGTTTTAGTTACAATTAGGTTAGCACATCTTTCATTGCAGTAATCTGACAATGAAACAATCATTTTTTTCAATTTGTCTTCAATAGATGTCAATTCTTCAGCTGACCAAATCTCTTCATTATCACTCCCATTAACATCTTCCATTTGACTTACATCTATAATCAAATTTGTTAATGATAGTATTCTTTTAAATAACATAACTAAGTTTGGAGTCACTTTTTGCAAAAATAAAATGCCTTCGTTGCACAATAGCCACATGTTATCTGCATTTGATCCTCTTAAAACAATTTCAAAACAACCATCTCGCTGTGAAATAATTTCAATTACTGATTGTTTTATTGTAGCTTGAATAGATGTCATAGCTTCCATTTTAAATGTGTCTAGAAAATCAAATTCTTTGAGACGAAGAATGCCAGAAACAATTGATATAATTTTATCTTTTTCAGGAATGTCACTTTCATCTATTAGTGGTCTATTTAAGTCACATACAATGAATTTTAGGAATTCATTACTTAACATTTTATGAATTAACCTTTTCATTTCAGTTAATTGTGGAGATAAGTGTCTAAATGCCTGTATGCCTGTAAGTCGAGTTGACAATACTTTTTGTGTAGAGCCTATTAAATCCAATGCAGCAACATAGTCCGATGTACTGAGTAATAGCTGAATCATAGGTTGAGTCTGTTGTACTGTTGACATTAGTTTAAGAATTTCATGAACATGACCAAGATTACAATTTATCCTAGTTAAGCTTTTTAATTTCAATGGACATTCAGTCAGATTCTTTTTAACTTGGTTAATATGTTTTCTTGTTTTCTGAACAGTATTGACAGCTTTTGCCATCTGTTCCATTATTGTATCATGTGAAAGCATAGCATGAAAAAATGCATCTGATCTTTGTGCTACTTGCTTTGAAATATTCATTTCTATTACATCCAGATAAGTGCTCAATGTTTCTTGCAGAGATCTTATAGCTACATCATTATCTACAGAACTACAAAGGTTTGGAAAAACTTTACTGAAAACCACTGGATCATTTAATGGCAAACCTGGTTCATAGAATATATCTGGTATTTCACAATCATTTTCTATGATTGCAGTTTTATTTTTAACTGGCAAATTTTCTTTTANCATTTCTATTACATCCAGATAAGTGCTCAATGTTTCTTGCAGAGATCTTATAGCTACATCATTATCTACAGAACTACAAAGGTTTGGAAAAACTTTACTGAAAACCACTGGATCATTTAATGGCAAACCTGGTTCATAGAATATATCTGGTATTTCACAATCATTTTCTATGATTGCAGTTTTATTTTTAACTGGCAAATTTTCTTTTAATCTTAAATGTCTTCGGTACCTTTTAGCAATTTTTTTACAATAAGATTCAAAATGTGTCAATGTTACATCTGGTAAATAAGGACTAGGAAGTATATCAATTTTATCCACAAAGCTGTCACCCCATGTTTTCGTGAAGAAATTGCTCTGCTTACCTCTATTCGGATCATTCAGTACTGCAGGGAGATTTTGTGAAGAAGAATAGAATGTCCAAGACTCATTAGGTGTCCTGGTATATGTATGATATTCTCGGATGTGGTACTTAAAACCAGCTTTCCGTAAATCTCCAAATTGTAATGCAGAGCACATCCCATTTTGTCCATATTGACAAAGGATTATGGTTCCCTCTTTTATGGAGTGCTTATCTAGTATATGTCTGTAAAATAAATATTAGCATATAAGTATTGGGCTTACAAAACATTTAGGAATATCTATAGAAGGGTATATCGCTAGCCATTTCAAACAGCAACTTTTGTGAACATCCATATCATTCATCTGTATTAGCCATATATACTTAATGTATTTGCTTTTACGTTCAGCGAGCGCCGAGTCATTAACTAAATACCAAATCATAGAGCATAGCTATAGGTGCCGACGTCGCTTAATTGAATAAGATGAAGATCACTTAATTTATAAAATAAGTCTTAATTTTGAACCTTTCAAATTCTGCTGCTGTGCTGAAAACAAGGCTGGGGCAGTGTGAACAGTTTTGCCATGCTGGATTCGTGCTTGATGATGAATTTTCCTCCATAACATTTTTAGTATAGATTGATTTCTGTATGTATAAGTACACTTTTCTTTATGAATTTCGAATATTGACTCTAAGAAAACTTGAACTTAGGCAAAAAAATAGCTACATTTTTTTTAAAAACTGATGACATGACATCTCATTTGATAAATGTTAAAGTGACATTGACATTTGAATTGTTGTCCCGTTTTTTGTTTTTGGAGGCAAAGAAAATATAGCCCATACGTTTAAAATCTCTAAAAGGAACATTTGAAGCCTAACATCAAAAGTGAAAGGGAACCGCATTTGGAAGGCTACCTGGAAAATATCACTTTAAGCGGAAAGGAAGCATATTGCAACATTTTTGTTAATTGTCAAAAACCTTAACCATCGAATGACCGTTCCGATATCGAGTCGAGGGAACGCGCTCTCGCCCCCGTCACGTAACAGCCGGAGTCCCGCAAGGCTCCGCCCTCTTCCGTTATTGTTCAATTTGTATATCAATGATGTACCCCGGTCTCCGGAGACCCATTTGGCGCTCTTCGCCGATGACACGGCTATCTACTACTTGTGTAGGAAGAAGTCGTTATTGCATCGGCGACTACAGACAGCAGCTACCACCTTGGGACAGTGGTTCCGGAAGTGGAGCATCGACATCAACCCCACGAAAAGCACAGTGGTGCTCTTCAGAAGGGGTCGCCCTCCGAATACCACATTGAGCATCCCACTCCCGACCAGACGCGTCAACACCTCCGCCTCTGCCATTCGGCCAATCATGATGTACGACCATTACCGAATCCTGATCATGCAGGATCTAGTCACCGTCGACGCCCTAGACACGTCCTTGCGGATCCATCAGATCCAATAACCTTTGCATTAGACGCCTTCAGCTCTAACACTAGGAGCAGGCTTAGGGACCCCGGTAACCGCACTCGTCGAACTCGACAAGGAGGTCGACGGGCAACCTAACCCATGCATCAGCCCGCTGTCTTTCTCGCCGGATCTTCTCAGCGGGTCACGGTTCCGATCCGGTAGTAGATTCATTCGCGAAGCTGCTGCCCTAGAGTTGTTAGGTCTCCTTTGGAGGCGCTTGGGCAGCTGTTAGCAAATCCCACCCCTCCTGGCTGAGCCTTTGCTCGCCCCCCTGGTGAAACTGGAAAGGCCTCCGGGCTACCAGTAATCTCTCAATCATAAAAAAATGTACGACTAACTCATACCGTGGGCCCCGAAGGTCAAATACTTAGGCGTCACCCTCGACAGATGGATGACAGTCCGCCCCCACTTAAAGACGGTATTCGACCGTGCCACCTTCATACTAGGACGCCTCTACCCGATGATTTGCAGGCGAAGTAAATTGTTCCTTATAAATAAGGTGACACTCTACAAAACTTGCATACGCCCCGTCGTGACCTATGCAAGTGTAGTGTTCGCTCACGCGGCCCGCACTAACTTAAAATCACTCCAAATTATTCAATCCCGTTTTTGCAGCATAGCCGTCGGAACCCCATGGTTCGTCAGGAACATCGACCTCCATGACGACTTGGACTTAGAGTCCATCAGTAAGTATCTACAGTCGACATCGATGCGCCACTTCGACAAAGCGGCACAACACGACAACCCTCTCATCGTGGCCGCTGGTAACTACATTCCCGATCCTGCGGACAGAATGGAAAGCAGTCAACGAAACACGTCATTTCGGATCCTCCCGATCCACTAACGGTCCTTTTAGGTACCTCAAGCACCGGCCATCGTTCTCGTCGATCCCGTCATTTGCGACGAAGGGCTCGACGAGTAAATTAACCCACAGACACAGCCCACTGAGTTTCTCGCCGGATCTTCTCACTGGGTCGCGTTTCCGAATCGGTGGTAGATTCTGCAAAGCACGGCTCTTGCTAGGGTTCGTGTTAGCAACATAGTCAGGTTTGAGCCTCTTAGATAGGAAAAAAAATCGAAAGACTTTATTTAGCCTTTACTTTGAATGGTGTTCAATAAAAGATTTCTTTTGAAATGAGATTTCGGAATGAAATGAGAAGGTGACGAAGGAAAACGAGATGAACTAAGTGAACTTTAGGTATTGTATGAGATGAAATGAAATAACTCTTGATTAAAATAGTGGTAATTTACAGAAAGTTTAATTACTCTTCAAAAGAAGTGAAGTTTTTTATTTTGTTTTTTTTATTATTGTTAAATTGGTGGACGAGCTTACAACCCACTTGGTATTAAGTCGTTACTGGAGCACCTAGAAACCATCGACGAAAATGCCGTCACTCACTTTGAGACATTAGTTCGAAGTCTCGGCTGCCCCACCCTTCAAACTGAAACGCATTACTGCTTCAAGGAAGACATAGGCAGGGTGGTAGTACCTACCCGTGCGTGTTCACAACACGCTTTATCACCAAGTCCAGCGGTTTTGTTTCATATTTCCGCGCCGTTTTTTCGAAGTAACGTTCCGACGCTGTCTTCAGATACTTACTAATTGAATCTAATTCTAGGTCTTATTTAAACTCTATTCAGGGAGCTTTGAATGTAACTTAGGCGCTGAGTAAATACATGTAATACTGGTGTTTGTCAGGTAACCATGATTATTGCTAGGAAATAATTTAGGATAGGTATTGTTTAATTTTCCTTGATCTATGTGAAAAGTATTTAAGGTAGCTTATTATGTTACTTTCTACTTAAGTATAAAAAGGGTAAATTTGGAATCCAAACAAACATTTAGATTTTTTATTTGAGTCAGATTCCTGGCTTATGAATCTAACTATAGTAATAAAGAATAAATAAATAATAACAAAATCGATCGAGTTATTTATAACACAATATAATACAATGAAAAAGAGTTCAGTCTGATAAGCAAAAAAAAAACGGTACGCGTGCAACTTGGTGCATATGAAAGAAGTGAAACTTCATTTGCGGTGTGTAGAATTGTGGTTTTCTTTATTTTACTTGCTTAAATTATTTTTCCCGTTCAAATGCGTGCAGAGCACTCCGCGCAACGGCTTATAACTAATTCCGCATCCGGCTATTCGCCGTCTCAACTGTCAAAACTTTTGTGTTTCATCTACGTGACACTACCGCCATCTAAAAGTAGTTTGTCGCAGCTGCCATCCAGCGCACAATATACATAGACCTATACTTCAGTGACAATATACGACTACCCATCATATATTTAGTTAATAAATAATTGTTTTACAGTTTTGATTTCGGGAACGGTTTAGTTTTAACCTAAGTATCATAGTTTGAGAGGTTTTTTTTATTGTCGTTGCGCCAACATGGTATTTAATACTCGTAATTTAGTAGCTACCGAAACTCATACGATATCACAGTGTAAATGTTACCTTCATAATGACATGAGGTTGAAGTCTCAATTGTATGAAATTACGCCTGACTCATATTTTCAGATTCGTGGTAGAAATACGCATGATGGTAGCAGCCACCCGTTCGAACTCACAATACGTTTGGTAAATTCCAGTTGGCCGTGGGAAAATGCTAGTTTAATACTTAGAGAATGCTGCTGCCCAATCACCAACCTTAGGCACCTTTTAAAACACTTATTCAGTATGAAATGACGTGACGCTATTTTTTTCCAAAGAAATTGGTAAAATTTTGACCAAAATCCCAATGAGGAAGATAATGAAAAGGGGTATTACTATATTCAGATTCATTTATTAAATTTTTTGATAATTCTTTTTGTAATTAAATAACGAACACCGAATTTTATTTTCATAGACTAGTCATTTAGGTGGTACCAGCTTACTTCGCAGCATACTGATAGTGATGTAACATTCAACAAGTTACTCCAAATAAATTTATTATATATATATAATAAATAATAAATTGATTACATTTAGTTAAAAATGTTAAGTTAAAAATATTATTTTCATTCTTTTTGGCAATGGTAACATGCGCATGAAACCGCAGATTTAAATATTAAATTTCTTTCTCCATCCAAGCACAGGACTTTGACAGGTACCTGAAAAAGTATTTTTTACATAAGTAGATAGATATATGTGTTTATAATTTATAAAAAGAAAATAATAATACGTGGCGTGTAACGCATTAAGTTTTATGTTACAAAATATATCTACATATTACATTAAATTTGTAAAAAAGAATGTAATACGTTATATTGTCCTAGGAAAAAAAAATCGTCCGACTTGCTGGTCTTTAAGCAAATCCGCATTTGAGGATCCGTCGGTACGTTAAATAGCGTGCCAACAAAAATACTACTACTACTACTACTACTACTGCTGCTGCTGCGCTGGCGCTATCACCCCGTAGTGGGTCTTGGCCTCCGACGATAAACGTCGCCATTTATCCCGGCGCTGCGCAATATCTTGCCAGTCCGACACTTGGAGCTCACGTAAATTTCCTTCTACAGCGTCAGACCAACGGTACTTGGGCCTCCCTGCGGGGTGGCGTCCTTCCGGTACACCCGTTTCACAGCTCGAACTTGTTCCATACGCACTACATGCCTGAGCCATCCGAGTTTCCACGCCTTGACCTCCCTCAGAATATTTGGCTCACCAAAAACTGAGTTTAAGTCGTCGTGGCCTAAAGGATAAAACGTCCAGTGCATTCGTGTCGAGTGATGCAACGGTTTTCGAATCCCGCAAGCGCATACTAATTTTCCTAATGAAATACATACTTATCAAATGTTCACCATTGACTTCCACGGTGAAGGAATAACATCGTGTAATAAAAATCAAACGCGCAAAATTATAATTTGCGTAATTACTGGTGGAAGGGCGTGTGAATCCGCACGGGTAGATACCACCACCCTGCCTATTTCTGCCGTGAAGCAGTAATGCGTTTCGGTTTAAAGAGTGGGGCAGCCGCTGTAACTATAAGGAGACCTTGAACTCATATCGCAAGGTGGGTGTCAGCATTTACGTTGTACATGTCTATGGGCTGCGGTAACCACTGAATACCACGTGGGCTGTGAGCTGATCCACCCATATGCAATAAAAGATACTAAATAAAAGTGTAGGTATATATAGGTACTGTCGTATTTATTTTAGCAGATGTATCCGGTGTGTCCCGTGGTAAAGAAATCATTAATATTTGCCAAGATAGAAACGATTATTATTAGATTATTTAGAAAGTATTAAACTAGGTTAAAAGATGTCTTCGTTTAGCCAATTTTTTCTGAATATGTAACAAACATCCCAACGTGCAACTTAATATGTATCGATAAGATCTATTTTGAAAAAATCTGTTAAGTGCCACATTGTTCACAATAGCAAAGATAGTAGTAAAACTTCTTTAGCGATTATTGAATATCTTTGATCAGTTCAAGTTCAAAAGTTTTAAGTCTAAGAAACCTGGCGTCTTAAATATTTCGCCACGGACGCTTCAAACAAGAAGTATATTTACGTACATCTTCAGCTTCCATTATGTTACAGCATTGTCCTAATGAAGTTACGGGATGTCTCTTAAACCCAAGCATAATACTGGGAAGGGACCAGGACTCACAATACCCGCGGCATGCATTCGTTGTTATTTTAAATTCTACGCAATCTGGGATGCTTATATTTCTTGTGTGACCTGAAACACATGAATGAATCATTCTCAGAAACATAAGTGGATAATTATTTTCCATATTATTTTACAGTATCAATGGAGTTTACCAAAGTATATTAAAACTGCAATTTGTGTTGTTAAATTATTTTTTATAAATAAATACGAACCAATTCTATGACAGCCTGGTTTTCTCCACGATTCAGCGGCAAAAATTTGGCATAAAAACATGAGGGTAACAATAAATCTAAGAAGCATGTTGATGAAATTCCCGTGGAATCAACTCTCCGAATGATGAAGTAAACCCATGTCGATTTGCTTTTATACGTAGATGTGTCAGAGGTTTCACAAAAGATATGACATTTTAATTTTAAACTATTTCTATCAAACTAATAAATGTAGGCATTTATTAGCTGAAACATAATAGAATAGTCACAATAGGCGGAAATTTAACGCCGCTTCTAGGTCCTATAAGAGGGCTATTGCCAGGGCGAAGTCGGAGCACGTTGCCAGAATTGGCGAGTGACTGAAGAGCTATCCCGCCGGGAGCCGTGCTTTCTGGTCGCTCGCTAAGGCTGCAGAAGGTAACTTCTGCAGGTCTAGTCTCCCACCACTACGCAAGTCCGATGACAGTCTGGCCCATAGTGCGAAAGAGAAGGCTGACCTTCTGGTCAAACTCTTCGCCTCGAACTCGACTGTGGACGACGGGGGTGCCACACCACCGAACATCCCCCGGTGTGATAGCTCCCTGCCGGATATCTGCTTCACACAGTGTGCAGTCAGGCGGGAGCTCCGACTCCTGGACGTCCATAAGTCGAGTGGGCCAGACGGCATCCCCGCAGTGGTTTTGAAAACGTGCGCCCCTGAGCTGACACCTGCGCTAACGCGTTTGTATCGCCTCTCTTATTGCACTAACAGGGTTCCGTCTTCATGGAAGACCGCCCACGTCCACCCTATCCCCAAGAAGGGTGACCGGTCGGACCCATCGAGCTACAGGCCTATCGCGATAACTTCCTTGCTTTCCAAGGTGATGGAGCGAATTATAAATACACAACTCCTGAAGTATCTTGAAGATCGCCAGCTGATCAGTGACCGACAGTACGGTTTCCGTCACGGTCGCTCAGCTGGCGATCTTCTTGTATACCTTACTCACAGGTGGGCTGAAGCCTTGGAGAGCAAGGGCGAGGCTCTTGCTGTGAGCCTTGATATCGCGAAGGCCTTCGACAGGGTCTGGCATAGGGCACTTCTATCGAAGCTACCATCTTACGGAATCCCCGAGGGTCTCTGCAAGTGGATCGCTAGCTTTTTGGATGGGCGGAGCATCACGGTCGTTGTAGACGGTGACTGTTCTGATACCATGACCATTAACGCTGGCGTTCCACAAGGTTCGGTGCTCTCCCCCACGCTTTTCATCCTGTATATCAATGACATGCTGTCTATTGATGGCATGCATTGCTATGCGGATGACAGCACGGGGGATGCGCGATATATCGGCCATCAGAGTCTCTCTCGGAGCGTGGTGCAAGAGAGACGATCAAAACTTGTGTCTGAAGTGGAGAACTCTCTGGGGCGAGTCTCCAAATGGGGTGAATTGAACTTGGTTCAATTCAACCCGTTAAAGACACAAGTTTGCGCGTTCACTGCGAAGAAGGACCCCTTTGTCATGGCGCCGCAATTCCAAGGAGTATCCCTGCAACCTTCCGAGAGTATTGGGATACTTGGGGTCGACATTTCGAGCGATGTCCAGTTTCGGAGTCATTTGGAAGGCAAAGCCAAGTTGGCGTCCAAAATGCTGGGAGTCCTCAACAGAGCGAAGCGGTACTTCACGCCTGGACAAAGGCTTTTGCTTTATAAAGCACAAGTCCGGCCTCGCGTGGAGTACTGCTCCCATCTCTGGGCCGGGGCTCCCAAATACCAGCTTCTTCCATTTGACTCCATACAGAGGAGGGCCGTTCGGATTGTCGATAATCCCAATCTCACGGATCGTTTGGAACCTCTGGGTCTGCGGAGGGACTTCGGTTCCCTCTGTATTTTGTACCGTATGTTCCATGGGGAGTGCTCTGAGGAATTGTTCGAGATGATACCGGCATCTCGTTTTTACCATCGCACCGCCCGCCACCGGAGTAGAGTTCATCCGTACTATCTGGAGCCACTGCGGTCATCCACAGTGCGTTTCCAGAGATCTTTTTTGCCACGTACCATCCGGCTATGGAATGAGCTCCCCTCCACGGTGTTTCCCGAGCGCTATGACATGTCCTTCTTCAAACGAGGCTTGTGGAGAGTATTAAGCGGTAGGCAGCGACTTGGTTCTGCCCCTGGCATTGCTGAAGTCCATGGGCAACGGTAACCACTCACCATCAGGTGGGCCGTATGCTCGTCTGCCTACAAGGGCAATAAAAAAAATAAAAAAAAATTTCAATGCTGATGTGTGGTGAACAATGTTGACAGTACTTCCTTCTAGTTACTTATATTGATGACGAGCTCGCGACTCATTTAGGTCTCCTTAACTCGATATTAACAAGCTATAGACCTAACTTTCAGTTATTTTGAAATAATGACTATTCTATGTCGCAAACTGCAACGCATGATTTCTTCGTGGCAGATTCGTGGCAGGACGATGGTACGTATCCGTACAGTTAATGTTATAACCAGTAATTACATATTTTTATAAATTTTGGGGTTCGATGCAATTACTTCTCGTCATTATTCCTTCATCGTGATCGTCGTTTGTGGGTAACATATACCAAAAAATTCACCGGCACAGTCACATCGCTTGGTAAATGTTTTAGCAGTTAAGAAAGTTAAACAGGAAAATAAAACTTATCATGTAGTATTTACTGCATACATTTAGTGATAATTAACAAAATGTGTGACAGGGAGTGGTTGTATGCTTATAACTTAATTAGCTTAATTATTTCAATGTAAAGGCACTAAAATAAAAATAAAACAATTTAAGTTTCACTTTCTTATTTTAAAGTCCGAAAAGTTTTCAACTCCTCCTTGAATTAAATAAAGATAAGGATTTGTTCATCTCATAAATTCGAGCTTACGATCATTAATGTAGTGTAATGGTGTGAAAACAAAAGTATGCGAACCATAAAATTATGAATATTAATTTCTCCCATCTTTGTTGTTCTATTACATTTTGTTTAAATTTAAATAAATTTACATTAACATAAAGAACCACACAGCAAATGTTTATTTTGAGAACCCCGGTAATAGGACAATAATAAATAAATAAAAAAACATTGGACACGATTAAACATTAGTGAGTATACTTCTTACATATGAGTATACTATAATCAAGATCAATGTGCTCTGTAGACAAAAAAATTAAATTATTTAAAAATTAGTATAGTATCTTAAAGTACTGTACTTGTGTTATAAATATGATCATTTTTGTTTGTTTGTTCGTGTTTTATGCTTGATGCGACTCTTGAGAGAGGTCTAATTTTCCTGTTCTTTTGCAATGCAAAATTTTGGAGACTTAAAGTGAACGATCGGAGATGAGGCTAGAATTGTTATGTGTTTAGTGATTACAGAGCGACAGTCTTCCCTCCGGAAAGTCTGATTCATGGCAGAAATATGTACAATGGTGGTTTCCCATGGGCTCAAAATGCGCCATACCATTAGCAGTGCTAGCCCTTAACGCAGCCCACAGCCCACTGAGTTCCTCGCCGGGTCTTTTCAGTGATTTTCGTTACCGATCCGGTGGTAGATTCTGCGAAACACTGCTCTTGCTAGGGCTAGTGTTAGCAACGTCCTCAGATTAGAGTCCTGTGAGTTCACCTACTCGTCCAGTTACGCTGGCGTAACCCACTTGGTTACCAGCACAGGTGGGAAAAAAAGTGTTTGCCATTAGTAGCATTAGTACGGATCTACGAATTTTTATTATCAGCAACACCCATAACAGTTATAATTTTTAAAAATATATAGCAATCGCTATATGTTCCTAAGTTGGACTCTATAATCACTAAGTCACGGTAAACACTTAAGACCAGGTTGGCCGTAAATTCGTTCACTCGTGCGAGCAATAAAAACAACAAAAAGAAACAATAAAATATATCTAGAACCCCTTTTAATGTTGAAGTAAATAACAATACATTCGGCACATACCTACAATACCTAANTTTTAAAAACATATAGCAATCGCTATATGTTCCTAAGTTGGACTCTATAATCACTAAGTCACGGTAAACACTTAAGACCAGGTTGGCCGTAAATTCGTTCACTCGTGCGAGCAATAAAAACAACAAAAAGAAACAATAAAATATATCTAGAACCCCTTTTAATGTTGAAGTAAATAACAATACATTCGGCACATACCTACAATACCTAAATGTCGTGTTGCATTTCGTTTAGAATTGTTTGTAATTTTTCGTTGCCTAGTTACGCAAATTAACTTACAGAAAATCATAACATAACAGTTAACATAAAGGTTAACAGTAAAAAAAGTCAATATAATAGAATTTTATGGTGTTAAAACCTGTTTAATATGGATGTTGAATATAGAATATTAAATTTATTTAAAACAAAACAATACGATGATTGTCTAAAGCTTTGTGCAAACGCGCTACAATACAAAGATGATCGTATGATTGACTTCATACGAATGAGGTCAATGACAATTCAAGCAAAAGTAGCTGGAAATGGTTATGATGAAGTTTCATATTTTCCGAACCAAGATGAGCTTACTGCTACTGCAGTGGCCAAAACACCCCGACCGGGCACGTCGTTCCAACAAAAGACCAAAACTACTACCAACCCTTCGGAGATAACAAAGGTAATTTATGTGATACTAACATTATCTTACATTATCTTTCTTAAAAAGATAGATAGGACCTACACTTATCCTATCATTCAAACCGAATTGCATAATGCTTTGCGGCAGAAATAAGCAGGACGGTATTGAGGATGCTACTAGTGGAGGCAAGCTAACAACACTCCCCGCCAGTAGTTGTAACCACTTTGCTAAGGGGTATTCCAGGTACGCCGCGACGTGAGCTCGATCAACCATCAAAGCAACAGTAAAATAACATTTATATTATGTAACATTAAAAATTCTTCAGTAGAGACTGACAAAATAAAACTTTTTATTTCAGAAAAGAGTAACAGCAACAGCTGTGTCAAGATCTCGACTTGCAACTACAACAATCAGAACCCGGAGTGCAAGAACAGCATTACACACTGCGTCACGGTTGTCAAGGGCGGCTACGGCAGTCGCAGGAAATTCCATTATTCCGGGCATGCCGCTCACATTACGATTTCTTGAAAAAGACGATAAATTGTTTATACCAGCATCAAAAACATTATTTGAGTATATCTATTATTGTGAAGGTAGCATACGTAAGGTAAGATAGGATTTATCGAATATATGTATGCATAATTAGGTATACCTATTACTTAATTACCTACATGTAATAGTTTTTATTCTTGTGCTTATGATCGGAAACTTTTTACCCGTTCTTCAGTTGTAGACATCAGATATTTAGACCTTACAGAAGAGTAGTTAAAGATGCGCGATTGACTTTAAAACTACCGTAATAAATTGTATTTGTTTGAAAAAATATAACTCTGTTTCTGAATACCGTACTAAACTAGAGCAGCTCCCCATTTTCTTTTACGGGAATACTCATATATTATCTTTCACAGTGTTTTGTATAGGTAATCTCTAATCGGCGATACCTTCAGAAGTAATTTGAATTTAAAATAAAATAAAATAACATCTAGCTATACTTGAGACCTTAGAACCTATATCTCAAGGTGGGTGGCGCATTTACGTTCTGAATGTCTATGGGCTCCAGTAACCACTTAACATCAGATGGGCTGTGAGCTCGTCCACCCATCTAAGCAATAAGGAAAAATAAGATAAGACACTAAGTACTATAAAATTATTTTTATTGCATAGAATATTATTGTGGTATCGTATCTGTATATACATGTGTATGTAGGTATAGAAGAATAGAATATAACCAGAACTATTTTACTCCGAACAGGCAATGGATGTAGCTTTCCAAGCCCAAAAAGCCGACAATACAGTAAGCTGGTGGTGGAATTTTTCATTAGCTCGTTGTTATTCTGTTCTTGGAATGTATCGAAACACTGAAGAATGCCTACGTCAAGCTCTTAGACAAAATAAACACGTTAGCATTTATCTACGATTAATCGCAATGTATGTTGGAATGAACCAACCGTTGACCGCGTTGGATGTTTGTAAACAAGGCTTGTCGTATTTCCACGACTACGCACCTTTACTTATTGAACAAGCTAGAATTCATGAAGAAATGGATTTATCGGCATTGGCTGTGAAAGAGTATCGAATGGTCGCTATCGAAGACCCATCTAACATGGAAGCTGTTGCATATATCGCCATGTTTAACTTTTATAACGATCAACCTGAAATAGCCCTACGGTATTACAGGTATTTATAGATTTAATCTAGGTANCACGACTACGCACCTTTACTTATTGAACAAGCTAGAATTCATGAAGAAATGGATTTATCGGCATTGGCTGTGAAAGAGTATCGAATGGTCGCTATCGAAGACCCATCTAACATGGAAGCTGTTGCATATATCGCCATGTTTAACTTTTATAACGATCAACCTGAAATAGCCCTACGGTATTACAGGTATTTATAGATTTAATCTAGGTATAACTATTACGCGGCATAATTAGATGTCTCGGTACTTAAGCTTTACAGAAAATACGTTGTTCTTTTGGACACAATGAGGAGTTTACAACAATATTAGCACTTTTGTGTTTTATTTTAATATAGAGAATTAAGGCACAGGCGACTTAAAATAGTTACTATGCACCCGTACTTCTAACAAAATTGTAACACAGATGTATTTTTTCAGAAATGTATTTACGTACATACTAATATATTTGTGTTGCACAGACGGGTGAACAAACTCACCGGTCTACTTGATTTTACGTTATTTAACCAGATCTCATAGATATATATCTTAATGAATGAATGCCGTCAACCTTATTGAGAAATCAGACCCAAGTCTCATTTGTATAGCATGACAACTGTCCCATTCTTCAAACTTCAAAGGAACGCAGGACTGCTTCTGGCCATAAATAACCAGGATTGTAACGCCTATCCTTGGAAGCTACCAATAAGGCTCTGGGATTTGGTGCTCTTTATGCTGATACGCGATCGCACTGTACTTTTGGCAAAGAGGGCGAAGCACATAATATTTTGCATATTATTATTGAAAACTGAACTAGTTAACACGTTGACTGCCATAAAACTCATCGGTGCCCTACGTGGCGCACTGAAATAATTATGTCGATTTCTCTCTTCGACGTTCTCATTAAGACGCCGGAATATCTTGTAGGCTCTGGGAAAGACGAATCCGAACGATACTGAGAATTAATCTATTTTTTAGAGACTTAAAAGACTAAAACATACATTAAAAAAAAAGGGTGCGTGTACTTATGTACGCGCGTAAGAAGTTACACTTTATTTTTATTAAATTTATTTCTTTTTTTGAATTTAAATTTTAATCAATTTGAAAAAAAAACAATTAAACAACATCCTCAAAAATGCATATTGGACATCCCTTTTCTTGACATCGTATAAATTCGGTAATTCTCGGTACGGTTCGGAAAGTTCACCTGCGGCTATATTCAGATTCCCTAAGTTACGTCGGTCGTATTGTAATGAACGATTTAGTGGGCAACTTCATTCTGTTAATTTTGTGTCACGGTGCGCGCGCATCGTAAAATTTCACTCCCATCAATTTTTCATAACGCGCCTAAAAAAGTATAACTTAAAAAAAAATCAAAGTTAGACAATCCAGGCGCTTAATGACAGAAATCGACATAAGTACTTGAGTGCGCCATGCAAGGCACCGGTGACCTACATGGCAGTCAACGTGTTAACAAAGTTCAAGAAAACAATTTATTGTTATGTCACACTAAAACATTATCATCTGTACCTCGGAGCAGGTTGGTAATTTTTCGTTTCGTACATGCTAAGCATGTAATCAGTTTCACGATCCTTTGAATGAAGTACGCATGACACGAGCAGTATAGGCCACGAACGCGATTTATTACCTAATACGTTTATTATTATTACAGGAGACTATTAGCTACCCAGAGTCCAGGAGCTGAAATATACAATAACCTTGGCCTTTGTTGCCTATATTGCAATCAGTGGGATCTAACGATTCCCTGTTTTAGACAATCGTTGTATTTCAGTACGGATCCAGAGACACGTTCAAATATTTGGTATAACCTTGCTCATGTGGCTTTGGTATGTATATTTTGTAAAAGAATTACAATGCATGTAGCCTTTATTTATGATGACGTAGCTTTAAGAAATGAAATTTAAAATCATACAGATTATTTTAGTTAAAAATTCTTGTCAATACATTCGTTTCAATATGTTTCATTGAACAGACTCAGGCGATGGGGCATCGAAAAGACGCCCGAAACACGTCTTGTTGAATCACTCGGATTCATTTTCGGTGCTTTTAAGATGCTCAAGCACCGGTCACCGTAGTCGTGGAACTCTTGAATTACGACGAAGAGTTCGTCGAGTGAACTAGCCCATAGAGACAACCCACTGAGTTTCTCTTCTCATTGGATCGTGATTCCGATGCGTTGACAGATTCTGCACAGCACTGTTCTGGATAGGGCTAGTGCTAGCGAATTCTCTCAGGTTGTGTCTTTGAAGTCACCTACACGCCCACACGAGGCTAGAATAACCGCTTAGGCACCAGGGAATAGATCGTTAAAAAATATATTTTAGTCCACAGGTGATATAATCTTGGCTCGACGCTGTTTACAAGTGAGCCTGGCTACAAATTCTGGAAATAATGCATCGGTGCACGCGCTACACGCATTGAATAAGATACTTCATTCTCGTAATGCTTTAAATTCAGAAAATGTGAATGCACATAAATGATAACAATTAATTAAATCACTTGAAAGTATATATATTTTTACTATTCTTACTATAAATTTACGTTATTTTCATAGGCTTATTTAACATAAATAGTCAACAATGGACATTATGTCGATTTCGAGTGTTTCCATTTCACGTAATTCATCGTACTTGAGAGCGATGAGTTTATCGATGTCGGCCTCAGGGTGCGTCTTCTTTAGTCCTGTTTTAACAGTCGTAACATCACCCGACGAATCAAGAGGTATTTTAGAGTAATACCTTTGCTTTATCTGTAAAAAGAACGTTGGATTTGTAAATGTATCATCATATAGCGTGAAATAACTGAACTGTTCGAACTAATAACCTTCTTAATATTATGGTTCTATCATAATGTTCAGTACATTAAAATTGTGGGAATATTTAAAGAGACTCTTATTTAAATCATTCGATAAGGAATAAAATTGAGACTTCGACCTCATATCTGAATGTGAGCAGCCCATTATATCTTACATAGACCCTAAAAATGTCCAACCACCTATTATAGTGCAGTGAAAGAGTGATGGTTTAGGGGAGCCTCCTTAGGCTATTGCAAAAGTACCAATCTCTTTATGATAAACGAACATTTTCAGGGTTCCGTAGTTTTTATACACTTTTGCTCTATTCTAATTGTTAAGTACATTTAAGTACTCGTAAAAAATCTGTATTCAAACCCAATGTTTTGTTAACAAAGCTTTTTGAATTATGCCTTTCGCTCATTTAAACTCGTCTTTTTTTTTCCACATGTTGGCTGGACGAGTTCACGGCCCACCTGGTATTAAATGGTTACCGGAGCCCATAAACATCTATAACGCAAAGTACTCTAAATATGAAATTATTGACTAACCTCATCGAAAGTCGATCTTGCCACCCCAATATTTTCCCAGGTATCTGCCCCTTTATTTATAAAAAGTGGTTTTGTAGGATTTGTTTGTTTGTCTTTGATAGAAATCCCATTCTCAAAACCAATACTGCTAAAAATGTCTTTAGCTCGTTTAACTAACATCGATTCTTTGGATGAATAAAACATTAAGTGCGCGCCATTAAGTAGTGCCACACTTCTAAGAGTACTGCAGACAATCTTTTTAGCTTCTGTATCTAAAAACATAATTATTTTTAAAAATTCAAAGTCTTTTTTGTGGCTTGGTATATTCCAGCTGTTTTCGAAGCCAAAAAAGTGTATAATGTTCTTGATTCCTTAGCTAGAAACAATATTAAACTCTTTTGAGACTGACTACCCAAATCCAAGTGGGTGACTGCAATGGCATTGTAATGTCTATAGGATCCGGTAATTATTTAACATCGTGCGTGCCGTTTAGCTGTTCGTATAGCCACTGAATGCTCTGTAACGCAAAAATAATGTTCAAAAGTTAATTAGTGAAATAGTAACGTTTCTTAAATAATTATGGTCAAATAATATACACGGGACATACAGAATGGTTTATGACATCACAAACATAACTTAATGGCATGCAAGAGCGATAGCAATATATTCCCACTAATCTTCTTTATAGGTATAGGTATCGATCCTTTTGCGTGTTATCAAAACTTTGTCCAGTAGAAGTGAAGTATTATTTTAAGGAAAAAAGGTTTCTACAATATTAAAGAAATTTATTTAAATTAGTTGACTGTCCCAGGAAACAAGACCCAGTTTATTGTAGTATAATGACATTAACATTGACTTGAGGCGAAATGATGTCGTTGAACTATAAAGTTCACTATGAAGTCGTTGTAGCCTAAAGGATAAGCCGGTGCATTTGTATCTTGCAATGCACCGAATTCCGCGGCAGGTACCAATTTTTGTAATGAAATACATACATAGGTAACAAATGTTCACGATTGACTTCCGCGGTGAGGGAATAACATCGTGTAATAAAAATCTAACCCGCAAAATTATAATTTGCGTAATTACTGGTGGTAGGACGTCTTGTGAGTCCGCGCGGGTAGGTACCACCACCTATTGCCACCACCTGCCTATTTCTGCCGTGAAGCAGTAATGCGTTTCGATTTGAAGGGTGGGGCAGCCGTTGTACTATAAAAACTGACACCTTAGAAATAATATCTCAAGGGAGGTGGCGGAATTTATATTGTAAATATCTATAGACTCCGGTAACCACTTAACACCAGGTAGGCCGTGAGCTCATCCACCAATAAAAAATATATTAAAAAAAATCGTTAAAATTAGAATAAAGAGCACTAACCAAAATTCTTAAACAGGTCATATTTTCCACACAAAATAATCAAGTTTGTTACACAATTATCGGATATAGATTGTGTTTCATTCATTGCATGAACACATATTTCGATGGTTTGCAATAAGGTCTTCGGTTTACTCAGATCAACCATTATACAATAATAGTAATTCTTCGTTTTAGGCAGCACAGGCAAAACATTCTTTAACATGTCTAATTTTCCACCGTATTCCCAAATATGACACACGTTTTTATCAATTGCTTGCTTAAGATTTGTTTTTCTTCCAAATGAATATTCTAACACAAGAGTGTTCCGTGGAGTTTCTAATTTTTCCAAAAACATATGAAGCAGTGTTGATTTACCCTAGAATAGTATTGTAAATGTACACTATTTACCTAAGTTTTTTTTTATTGCCCATGTAGGCAGACGAGCATACGGCCCGCCTGATGATTAGTGGTTACCGTCGCTTATGGACGTCAGCAATGCCAGTGGCAGAGCCAAGCCGCTACCCCTACCGTTTAATACTCTCCATAAGCCTCGTTTGAAGAAAGTATTTTGTAATATCAGTAGTGTATTTGAGTCGTCTATTATCAAAGGTGGCAATCTGTGCATTTGGACAAAAATTTTTTATTGATATGTCAATACAGATTTATTTGAATATAATCGTCTCCTTCAAAGAATACGGTTCAAAACCTGCATTAAATAAAGGTTAATAGTTAACCTGTTATTTATCTAAGATGTCGTTCCGAAGAGTTTTGTGACTGCCAATGNTTTGAATATAATCGTCTCCTTCAAAGAATACGGTTCAAAACCTGCATTAAATAAAGGTTAATAGTTAACCTGTTATTTATCTAAGATGTCGTTCCGAAGAGTTTTGTGACTGCCAATGGAATACAAAGTCAATAATTCGTTTTTCTGATTTACCAATCATTGTCCAAAAGTCAGATTGCCGCCTTTGATAATAGTCGACTCATTTAGTAGTGTATAGTAGTATTTTGTAATATCATTTTGTAATCTCCTTTCTATCCTAAATAAAAGCATATTCTTAGCTTATGAAAAAATCATTAATTTATTGATATTCATTTCTAAACGTGTGAATGTTCAACATTTATAGTGTTTACTTAATGTAACTACAAACAATTTTTTTAAGGCAGTTCGATGTGCATAATATCATGTAATTAATATAGTATATATTAAATAAAGATCAATACATGTGTGATTGACTCTAAACTTGGTGCCTTGGAGTTGTTACTTTAAGGAAGGTTCTGTTATTACGTACGGTAACGCTATCGATAAATAGCGGGCGAGAGAAAATAAGACGCACCAAAAATAAAATTTCATACTATTCAGCTTACCCACCACGTTTTTACTGCCTGCTAAGAAAATAGTCCGAGAATTGATTTCGTCTAATTGCTGCTCCTGTGTGTCTATAATTTGTGCTGCTCTCTCCGGTATAGACAACATTTTATAACGAATTTATTTAAAATATATTTGATTTCCTATTTGTTGCTTTACTTCTAAAGATATCACGGTACACCCAATTATTTATATTGATTGCTTGTTGAAAATATATTTGTTGTTATGTTGTTGCTAAGCAATGAGACTCGAGTATAAAGGTTTTAAATCAATAAAATGGCAGACAGTCTCACGGCCTAACTGGTGTTAAGTGGTTACCATAGAGCCCATAGACATCAACAACCTAAACGCTGTATCAGGTACAACGGCTGCTCCACCCTTAAGGGCCTTATCCATAGTAGCGGTTTGCGAGCGACTGCGGGGCGGAGCGGATGCGCCGTGAACCCGCCGCGGCGGCACAGCGAGAACGTCGCGGATGCGTGGGGGATACGCAAAATTTTGTAGCGAATTGACGACGTACAATACACTCAGTAATAAAATGGATTCCTTTTTTTTTTCTACTTAAGCTGATAAGCCTTGAGAGGCTATTTCAGCGTAACCGTGGCTAGTAGGTGAGCTCACGGGGCTCAAACCTGACGACGACGACGATGCTAACACGAACCCTAGCAAGAGCCGTGCTTCGCAGAATCTACCACCGGATCGAAAACGCGACCCACTGAGAAGATCCGGCGAGAAACTCAGTGGTCTGTGTCTGAGAGTTAATTTACTCGTCGAGCCCTTCGTCGCAAGCGACGAGTTCGACGAGAACGGTGACCGGTGCTTGAAGTACCTAAAAGCACCGTTAGTGGATCGGGAGGATCCGAGATGACGTGTTTTGGGCGACGTCGACTGCTTTCCATTCTGTCCGCAGGATCGGGAATGTAGTTACCGGCGGCCACGATGAGAGGGTTCTCGTGTCGTGCCGCTTTATCGAAGTGGCGCATGGACGCCGACTGCAGATACTTACTGATGGACTCTAAGTCCAGGTCGTCATGGAGGTCGACGTTCCTGACGAACCACGGGGCTCCGACGGCTATCCTGCAAAAACGGGATTGAATAATTTGAAAGGATTTTAAGTGTATGCGGGCCGCGTGAGCGAACACTACACTTGCATAGGTCATGACGGGGCGTATGCAAGTTTTGTAGAGTGTCACCTTATTTCTAAGGGACATTTTACTTCGCCTACATATCATCGGGTAGAGACGTCCTAGAATGAAGGCGGCACGGTCGCGTACCGTCTTGATGTGGGGGCGGAATGTCATCCTACTGTCGAGGGTGACGCCTAAATATTTGACCTTCGGGGCCCACGGTATGGGCTGGTCGAACATCGTGATTGGGCGAACGGCGGGGGCGGGGTTATTGACGCGCCTAGTCGGGAGAGGGATGCTCAGCGTGGTGTTCGGAGGGCGACCCCTTTTGAAGAGCACCGCTGTGCTTTTCGTGGGGTTAATGTCGATGCGCCACTTCCGGAACCACTGTCCCATGGTGGTAGCTGCGGTCTGAAGTCGTCGATGAAGCAACGCCTTCTTCCTACACGAGTAGTAGATGGCGGTGTCATCGGCGAAGAGCGCCAGATGGGTCTCCGGAGACCGGGGTATATCGTTGATATACAAACTGAATAGTAACGGGGAGAGGGCGGAGCCTTGCGGGACTCCGGCTGTGACGTGACGGGGCCGGGAACGCGTTCCCTCGACTCGATATCGGAACGAACGGTTCGACAAGTAGTCTCGTATGATGAGCACGAGTCTGTCTGGCACTCCCATGTTATACAGTTTGTATATCAAACCGTTGTGCCAGACTTTGTCGAACGCCTTCGCTATATCGAAGAAGAGAGCTCCTGTCGGGATGGAATGGATTCCAATTAGGAAACACTGCTGTTGGTTTTATTACTTCGAAGAAGCCGGAGGCTAATACGAAAGCATCGACGAATTTGGGAGGGTCCATTATCAATTAATCGAATGGAAGAGAGCGACTAATAATTAAAACTAATAATTTAAATAACTAAAAATTATCCAAAATAATTGCGCTCCTACCTGCAAATGTCTTAATCTACATTTTATGAATTGTTGCATCTGATAAAAGCTGACTTAAGATATGACGACACACGGACAGAAGTGAGGCAGGGCGGACGGGTTGGCGTTTGTAAGAAACACTACAAAATGGCGTTTAAGTTACTATTCGCAGCGATCTCGTTGCACGTCCGCAACGAATTCGTTACGCGCCCGGTCCGCTTCGAAAATGCTCGAAATCCGCTAGTATAAATCGACAACCTGCTTCGCGGCAGAAATAGACAGTGCGGTTGTACCTATCCGTGGGCTCACACGACGCTCTACCAGAGTGCAGTAAGATGGCCTTGACCAGAGAGAAAGCAAGACATCGTGAGACACGTCAATTCTGTTCCCTCTACATTAAATGACGACCACTCCGTCACAGGTGAAACAATTGAGAAGAAGACAAGATGATATTTCTTCATTGTGGAACTAATAAAATTCGTAAACCCGTGTTAATGTACATATTTCATTACAAAAATACCTAACTTAAGAACCTGACAGCGGGATTCGAACTGGGACACACTCGCATCCTCAATAGAAATGCACAAGGCCTCGACAGTCACTCCAAAATCGTTGACTATTGGCTTGCCACCGTTTTAGAAAAAATCGAGACCAGCATCCTTGCTGGATTTCTTCACCAGGTACAGCAGATTATTAGAGTTAGCCATGCGAACAATCGAACTTATGGAATCTCCTGAAGTGGAATTTCTAAGTGATCCAAAAAGCACAGAATCAGTCATAATGGGAGCGTATAACTCTCAGATTAAACCTAAATATTTATGTAATTTATACCTTGCAAATAGTAGCCAAGGCAGGAGAACCAGTGATGTGACAGTAAAACCATTTTTTTTAAAGTTGACCATTCAAAGTTTATTATTATTTATGTTACATCAAATGAAAATCACAGTATACACTTAACTGGTCTTTTAAAAATTATTTGAAATTATATTTAAAATTCGTAAATTCACATGAATCGATATAGAATTTATCTTACTTTACATTTACAATTCATTTTAATAATATTGTGATAGGTTTGCTACAGTTTCATTATTTTATTGCTAATATGATATTAACCTATTTTCATAATTGATGCATCAAATGTGGTTATTGCAATTTATGTTTGTTTTATAAAGTACCATCAATGTATGGCAGTTGACATCCTAGTAATCTTAACCAATAATTCTTTTCATTCATTTATGAATAGTCACAGCCGAACATAACAAGGTTTCACTAGTGTTTAATAAATATGGATGTTTAATATATGCATAATACAATTTAAGAAGCATTAATTACTACTGTTTAAGTAATTTTTGGTATTCCATTTCTTTATAAATTATTTCCTTGTTGATAGTGAGGAGTATCTCTTGAAATCTTTGTCTTAAAGTCATATTTTCCATTCCAGCTATCTCCAGTTGCGTTCTTTGGCGGCGTTGTTTCAGTTCTTCCAATTCAGTTGCCAACTGTTGCATTTTTACCCCAGTTTCACTTGGTGCTTTTAAATAATCATCAACAGAGTACTGCAGACCACTTTTATGAGCTACAACTTTTCGTTTTTCAGCAGTGTCATTATCAGCTCGTTCAGGGTTTAACATTTGTGAGTAGTAAAACATGTCAGAATTAAACTGTGTTGCAAAACGATCTGAACCTTGGACTGAAGCTTCAGAGTATTGGTCATCATATGAAGACATTCTACTGTCTTCAACATCTACATTGATATTTTCATCTTCTAAATCACTATCACTTAAAGCTCCACCAAATATATCTTCAACTTTTGAAGATGATTGATTAGCGATTTCTGCTTTTACATTGTGTCCTTTCTTTGTTTTTGCTTTCTCCGTTTTTGTAATATTGACTGTTTCTGGTTTAGAAGAATGATCATCCTCCTCCTGAATCACTTCCCATGTAAAACTTACTGCTTCATTATCGGCTCTTAAAAGTCTTTTAACTTCTTTTTCAATTTCAGGAGCTTCTACACATTTCTTTTTTAAAGTTTTCCTAAAACGCCTTTTACGGACATTTTTTGTTGGCGGAGTTATACCATGAGGCCACAAGAATTTTTTATCAACTTTGAAAGAATCTTTTTTTTTGTTTTTTGCTGGAGATTCTTCTTCGGTGGACGATGGGTCGATTTCATCTTTACAAATCATTATTTGGCAAATGTCTGCAGTTTTGTAAACACTTTTTCTGTCAATCGTTTTGAGCGANACAACTCTCAGATTAAACCTAAATATTTATGTAATTTATACCTTGCAAATAGTAGCCAAGGCAGGAGAACCAGTGATGTGACAGTAAAACCATTTTTTTTAAAGTTGACCATTCAAAGTTTATTATTATTTATGTTACATCAAATGAAAATCACAGTATACACTTAACTGGTCTTTTAAAAATTATTTGAAATTATATTTAAAATTCGTAAATTCACATGAATCGATATAGAATTTATCTTACTTTACATTTACAATTCATTTTAATAATATTGTGATAGGTTTGCTACAGTTTCATTATTTTATTGCTAATATGATATTAACCTATTTTCATAATTGATGCATCAAATGTGGTTATTGCAATTTATGTTTGTTTTATAAAGTACCATCAATGTATGGCAGTTGACATCCTAGTAATCTTAACCAATAATTCTTTTCATTCATTTATGAATAGTCACAGCCGAACATAACAAGGTTTCACTAGTGTTTAATAAATATGGATGTTTAATATATGCATAATACAATTTAAGAAGCATTAATTACTACTGTTTAAGTAATTTTTGGTATTCCATTTCTTTATAAATTATTTCCTTGTTGATAGTGAGGAGTATCTCTTGAAATCTTTGTCTTAAAGTCATATTTTCCATTCCAGCTATCTCCAGTTGCGTTCTTTGGCGGCGTTGTTTCAGTTCTTCCAATTCAGTTGCCAACTGTTGCATTTTTACCCCAGTTTCACTTGGTGCTTTTAAATAATCATCAACAGAGTACTGCAGACCACTTTTATGAGCTACAACTTTTCGTTTTTCAGCAGTGTCATTATCAGCTCGTTCAGGGTTTAACATTTGTGAGTAGTAAAACATGTCAGAATTAAACTGTGTTGCAAAACGATCTGAACCTTGGACTGAAGCTTCAGAGTATTGGTCATCATATGAAGACATTCTACTGTCTTCAACATCTACATTGATATTTTCATCTTCTAAATCACTATCACTTAAAGCTCCACCAAATATATCTTCAACTTTTGAAGATGATTGATTAGCGATTTCTGCTTTTACATTGTGTCCTTTCTTTGTTTTTGCTTTCTCCGTTTTTGTAATATTGACTGTTTCTGGTTTAGAAGAATGATCATCCTCCTCCTGAATCACTTCCCATGTAAAACTTACTGCTTCATTATCGGCTCTTAAAAGTCTTTTAACTTCTTTTTCAATTTCAGGAGCTTCTACACATTTCTTTTTTAAAGTTTTCCTAAAGCGCCTTTTACGGACATTTTTTGTTGGCGGAGTTATACCATGAGGCCACAAGAATTTTTTATCAACTTTGAAAGAATCTTTTTTTTTGTTTTTTGCTGGAGATTCCTCTTCTGTAGACGATGGGTCAATTTCATCTTTACAAATCATTATTTGGCAAATGTCTGCGGTTTTGTAAACACTTTTTCTGTCAATCGTTTTGAGCGACTCCACAATAGTTGGTAAGTCGTATACTTTCCCATGAAGTAACCAATGATCTAATCGTACTTCTCCATTTCTCATATCATTATCCATTTGTATTGTCAACCTGTTTTTGAAATTTTCTCCTGTTTGTAAGGCTTCTCTGAGGGCTTTGGCCGGTTCTTCTGGTAGTCTCAATAGAAATTGAGATTCTAACTCAACTGGAAAATCAGGATCTCTTTTGTCTCTATTCATTTTCAGTTATTAATTGAATTAATTTAAACAATGAATGCTTTGAGCTACAAATGCTACAATTAAACTTAATTAAAATAAGGTAATGCACGAATTACGTAGTGACAACTGACAATATAATAAGTGTATAATCTATGCAACTGACAATAGATCAGTTTATTAGCTACGTTACTGACCTCTTAAATATAATCTAGTAAGGAGGGGCCAACTTAAGGGTGATCATTTTTTTATTTAATTATAAATAAATAAAAGACGAACAAATAATTAAAATAAAAAAAATCCGAAGTCAAAAAAGGTAGCTTGAGGTAGGTTTGCTTATTAGATATAAAATAATTAATAATGGGAATTTGTTTTTATGATCTAACAATCACCAGTAGTCGTCGAATAAAACGATAATTTATCAAAATTAATTAATCTGAGCGATAAAAATAAAGTTATACTAGTAAGAGGGGCCAACTTAAGGGTGATCATTTGCTTAATTAATTATAAATAAAAAGACGAACAAACAATTTTTACATTCGAACATTAACGAACAATCGACGAACACGGGTGGTAGGACCTCTTGTGAGTCCACACGGGTAGGTACCACCACCCCGCCTACTTCTGCCGTGAAGCAGTAATGCGTTTCGGTTTGAAGGGTGGGGCAGTCGTTGTAACTATACTGAGATCTTAGAACTTACAATAATATCTCAAGGTGGGTGGCGCATTTACGTCGTAGATGTCTATGGGCTCCACTAACCACTTAATATCAGGTGGGCTGCGAGCTCGTCCACCCATCTAAGCAATAAAAAAAAAGAACATAATTAAAAATTTAAAAAATCAGATTTTTTCAGTGGACTTTTTGGAGGATCCCGAGAAGCTACGTCCAGCGGCTTTGCTTCATTTTCCCACATTTGTGCACTTTCATTGATATTAAACAGTTAATAAACCACCACTATTACACTTTGTTGCACTTTGTTGGTGCAACTAAATAAATAAATAAATTAAAACCAAGTAGTGCCAACCCTAGCAAATTTCTCATTTCGTCCCAATTAACCGCAATTTCCGGGTAAATAGGGATTACACCTATTTTTGCTTTTTTTGCTTAAACTGGAATGCTAGTTGCATAGTTTTAAATTGGATAACAAAGATGCCCCCAAGACTCAATAATTTTGATCCTGATATAGCATTATATACATCATACAACTACCTTAAAATTGGTCATAAAGTTGGAAGTTGTCCCTAATCGCCCCATTTTACCGGTACTTATTAACTCCATGATATTAGCAATGATGCAGAGCATAGATTATACACTTTGTGCAGAGTCTGCACAATGCAGAGGCACATATTAAATTGGACTTTTTGGCGGGAACGCGAGGAGTGAAGTTGTGTGATTTGTTTTATTTTGTCTATTTAGTGTTTCTTCGGGTTTAAATGTGTAATAATGGTGGTTTATTAACCGTTTAATATCTGTGAAAGTGCACAAATGTGGGAAAATGAAACAAAGCCGCTGGACGTAACTTCTCGGGATCCTCCAAAAAGTCCACTGAAANTTGAATTAATTTAAACAATGAATGCTTTGAGCTACAAATGCTACAATTAAACTTAATTAAAATAAGGTAATGCACGAATTACGTAGTGACAACTGACAATATAATAAGTGTATAATCTATGCAACTGACAATAGATCAGTTTATTAGCTACGTTACTGACCTCTTAAATATAATCTAGTAAGGAGGGGCCAACTTAAGGGTGATCATTTTTTTATTTAATTATAAATAAATAAAAGACGAACAAATAATTAAAATAAAAAAAATCCGAAGTCAAAAAAGGTAGCTTGAGGTAGGTTTGCTTATTAGATATAAAATAATTAATAATGGGAATTTGTTTTTATGATCTAACAATCACCAGTAGTCGTCGAATAAAACGATAATTTATCAAAATTAATTAATCTGAGCGATAAAAATAAAGTTATACTAGTAAGAGGGGCCAACTTAAGGGTGATCATTTGCTTAATTAATTATAAATAAAAAGACGAACAAACAATTTTTACATTCGAACATTAACGAACAATCGACGAACACGGGTGGTAGGACCTCTTGTGAGTCCACACGGGTAGGTACCACCACCCCGCCTACTTCTGCCGTGAAGCAGTAATGCGTTTCGGTTTGAAGGGTGGGGCAGTCGTTGTAACTATACTGAGATCTTAGAACTTACAATAATATCTCAAGGTGGGTGGCGCATTTACGTCGTAGATGTCTATGGGCTCCACTAACCACTTAATATCAGGTGGGCTGCGAGCTCGTCCACCCATCTAAGCAATAAAAAAAAAGAACATAATTAAAAATTTAAAAAATCAGATTTTTTCAGTGGACTTTTTGGAGGATCCCGAGAAGCTACGTCCAGCGGCTTTGCTTCATTTTCCCACATTTGTGCACTTTCATTGATATTAAACAGTTAATAAACCACCACTATTACACTTTGTTGCACTTTGTTGGTGCAACTAAATAAATAAATAAATTAAAACCAAGTAGTGCCAACCCTAGCAAATTTCTCATTTCGTCCCAATTAACCGCAATTTCCGGGTAAATAGGGATTACACCTATTTTTGCTTTTTTTGCTTAAACTGGAATGCTAGTTGCATAGTTTTAAATTGGATAACAAAGATGCCCCCAAGACTCAATAATTTTGATCCTGATATAGCATTATATACATCATACAACTACCTTAAAATTGGTCATAAAGTTGGAAGTTGTCCCTAATCGCCCCATTTTACCGGTACTTATTAACTCCATGATATTAGCAATGATGCAGAGCATAGATTATACACTTTGTGCAGAGTCTGCACAATGCAGAGGCACATATTAAATTGGACTTTTTGGCGGGAACGCGAGGAGTGAAGTTGTGTGATTTGTTTTATTTTGTCTATTTAGTGTTTCTTCGGGTTTAAATGTGTAATAATGGTGGTTTATTAACCGTTTAATATCTGTGAAAGTGCACAAATGTGGGAAAATGAAACAAAGCCGCTGGACGTAACTTCTCGGGATCCTCCAAAAAGTCCACTGAAAAATCTTAGTAAATGACCACCATTTTACTGAGATTAGATTTCATCTCATATCATCTCATTTAATTTCATCCCAGTTGATTAATGTCTCAAACTAATCATTTTCATTTCAATTCACTCCATACTATCATTTTTCATAAAATTAAGAATATAGATTAAAATAAGACATGACTTAAAGGTCTCAGTTACCAGGTCATAAAATCTCTTAAAAAAACATATTAAATTAATATTTCAGAGAAGCAGGCATTAAAATAAAAACAATATTTTTAATTTTAATAGGAACGGTGATATGTCCATCTTAAAGTGAGTTATTAAAATTCGACCTATTAAATTCTCTACTTTTCTCTATTTTTTAAAACTTATGATGTGGAATTTAATAATAATTAAAAACATAAGAACCTACTAAGTATGTACGAAGAACAATAACAACGGCTTGGTTGTATCAATGGTGTCAAAGATTATAATTGATTATGTCTTGTCAAATTGAACAAATTGCTGACTGTGGTGATTTATCTAGTTTAGCACGAGCACTGTTTTTAAGCAGTAATGAAGGTAATTATGAAGCCATATTATTAGAAAATAGTTACTATCAGTAATAGTACTAATAGTTATTTAAACCTGAAATCACTTGAAATCGTCATCACCTTACACCTTATGTATTGGAATTGTTCTTTTTATTGTTCTCTTTATTGCCACTAACTACTTTTACAGACCAATTTCACTTCTAAATTATATGTACAAGCAGTCTTAATAAAACTACAACATGATAATAATATGATCATTAGTACTAAGAAAGTGGTTAAAAACTACTCCTTTGATTTATATCCAATCCTTTAGAAGTGTTCATCATTATCAAACAATTCAATGGATTTTTAGCAAGAGTTGTGACCTTCTTTTTATATTTTTACTTTTAACTTTAAACTGTTTAACTTAAGTGTACAATTGAAATTTTTGAATGATTCAATTTGAATGTCGAATCAAATAAGAAAAAAGGTAAGGTAGGTAATAAAGAAGTCTGAAGAATATAATCACCTAATACATCTAGCTTAGATAGACTATAAAAGTTCAAGTTCTTAAGTGATGAATAAATCTAAGAGCGCCCGCACTCACATGTTGCGGTGAGTATCAAAATCTCCCAGACACAAGACTAAGTTCTGTCAAGCATTTTGGGAGAGGCTAATGTCCAGCAGTGGATGAAAACGTATTGTTGATGATGTTTGATGATGGATGAATATTATACATGCATCTTAATATTTACAGTAATATCGTTGATACCCTTCTCAGAACTTAAATTATACTTCAAACAATGGTTTGATTTCAGAACAAAATTGGTTGTCTCAATGTTGTGTTTCCCTATCATCTTGTGGTAACTTGCTTGCTGTTGGCTATCGCAATCGTCTTTGTATACTCACCACACAATGGATTACTTCGACACAAAGCAATACTTTTTTGATATCTTGGAGTGGAACTTTACCTGCAGATATATCAGCAGTATTGGTATTGCCAATTTGCCCATCTCATCATTCTTTCCAGGTACCTGTAAAAACTAAACTTTATAAATTAGTAAAACACTGACAGTCCTATGACAAAAGATCACAGTAGAGACTTGGGCTCTTTTTATACCATAATGTTTATATATATTATTTTTTTATTGCTTAGATAGATGGGCAAGCTCACGGCCCACCTGATATTGAGTAGTTCCTGCAGCCTATAGACATCTACAATGTATATACGAATATTTGGTAACTACAAATTTAATTAGAAAATTTGGTATTTGCCAGCGTGATTCGAACACCGGTGCATTGCTAGATACAAATGCACTAGACGTCTTATCCTTTAAGCCTCGACGACTCATATAATAATTTAAAGCTGTATGTGAATAATCAGATAATAAGAGCCAGAAGTAAATTGCCCAAGTACTTAGCTTGCAGTCTGTCTTTTTACGTTTAAATGGTATGTTTGACACTTGCAAATAATCTTCTACTACATCATAGATCAAGTAATGCTGGTTCTAGTAAGTGTTAAACAACGTGCCTACCGTGGTATAAAATTTAATAAGCTCTCAGGATCCATAGACTTGAATACCACCACACACTATTTATTGGCTAAGCCAAATGTAATGACTATGCCACTTTTCAAATCTCACTGCCAGGTTGTGTATTAAATCTTTACTTTGCTCATATTCACAAATTACTTCCACAATGAAGAAATAATATAGGTCAAACCTACACAAATAATATGAATTTGCGTAATTAAACTATAATTGAGACAGACATCAAGTGTCAAGCCGGGTGGCAGTGTTCAGATTTGGTGTGAGCTGGTTTACTTGTCTATGTGATGAAAAAAAATTGTTCCCAGACTGTTCAACGGATGTCTTGTTCTTCACAAAAGATCTCTGAGCAATTTTTATACTTTGTAAAATTTTGGAATGTAATTTCAAACAGGATTATTGAACAAAACAATTCATTAAAATGTATATAAATTCTAAGTATTAACTTTGTTGTGGCGGGAGGATTGTCTTACCCACATATCATTAGATGGAGCTCAGGCCTGTCTGATCACAAATATAAAAAGTGAACTTTCATCAGAAAATTAATGTGTTTTTAATTTATTTTAGAATGGCCCGGACTGGTTTTGCATTGTAGTTGGATTCAAAAACGGAAACATTGCTTTCCATACAAATACAGGCCATTTATTATTATCTGAAAAAATTGATGAAAAACCAGTATTGAAAATATCTTGTCATACTGGAACATATGGCACATTACCTGATGATGTTCATGTATTGTTTCATACTTGTGAATGTATTATATCAGGAGCAACACTATTTCCAACACTGCGAAACGCAAAGGCACAATTAGCAAAAGGTAATTTTGTATCTCTTGCAAAGGTTAATTGCGATTAGAATAACAACTATCTTTTATAATTCCAATGGGAATGCACAATTGCTCAAGTAAGCAAAACAGTGATCAAACTGAACATTGCTTAATTAGTGGAGCATAATGTTCTTTTTTATTGACGTAGGTGGACAGGCGAGCTTACGACGCGTTTGACGTTAAGTGGTTATCAGGCCCACAGACATCATATTTATTTCATGAGCTATAAATAAGGCAATTTGCTTTTAATAGTCTTACTGTGATTAAATAATAACATGAAGTCATAACAAACAAACTGTTTGTTATGACTGTTTATGAAACAATCTAAAAAGAACATGGTTGTGTTTAGTGCAAGCTGGTATTCAAGACTATTATAGTGTGGATAATCGTAGCATTAGCATAAAGAAATGGTTGTATACTGAACAAGAAGTTGTAAATGATGCTGCAGTTGTGGGATTAGAATTAAAAAATGCCTACGATCATTTACTAGCAGCTTCAACATATGGTGGTTATGATGTATGGTAAGAAAATGTTTCTATTTATTTTCCTATTCAAAACTGATAAATTAATTTCATATTAAATCAATTTTAAAAATAGATGTTTTGGGAAATGTGTTCATGAAATGAATTTAAATATTAAATTTAATCTTAATCTTATTAACAAAATTCAATCTTTGCAAGGTACCGTTCAGTCCCTCCAGTAAATACGTTAATATTAGGAGCTGGGCAGAAACCATATATAGGTTTCCATTATGCTCTGGAGGGTGGCACTGCGCCCCCTTTACAAGATGTAGCCAGAGCTGTTGCACATAAAATCAAATCTGCTCTACCGTAAGTAATTGTACCAAATATATCGTATTTCATTTAAGTAAATACCCTCAGACACAGCCCACTGAGTTTCTTGTCGGATCTTCTCAGTGGGTCGCGTTTCCGATCCGGTGGTAGATACTGCGAAGCACGGCTCTTGCTAGGGTTCGTGTTAGCAACGTCCTCAGGTTTGAGTCCCGTGAGCTCACCTACTAGTTAAGGTTCCGCTGAAATAGCCTCTTAAGGCTATCAGCTCAGGTAGGAAAAAAAAATTGACTAAATAGTATCAAGAACTTAATTAACATTACTTATTCGGTTTAATCACCCGTTTCGATTGGTAATTTTAATTATACCTACGACTCGCGAAGACAGAAAAAAAAATTGTTTAAAAAAAGTTAAAATTAATGTTTTATTAAACATTTTTTTAATTGATAGAACATTTACATAATATATTAAACTTAAAAAAACGTGTGGTAATAATATTTTTCTGCTACCTACGCCGAAAGTTCGGTTTCCCTCCCGCTGTACAGGGAAGAAAGTGTAACTTTTCCTCCCTGGGTACTGACAAGTGCACATGCGCGTTAGTGTCTACGTCTGCTCTCACGCACCTAAAATTCTCCGCCATTCTTGTGCTCGGGTAATTTGCAATATTGTGTTTAGTGTAAAAGTGAAATAAACAAAAGGCAATAAAATTTAATAGTGAAGTATTAAACAAAGATGAGTTCATCAGACAGTTCTTATTGAATTAGTAGTAGTTTATTTAAAAATTAAAAAACAGTTATATTGTTTACACGCGGGTGGAAATGTCCTAAAATGTACTATTATTTATTTTGCAGAGGCTGGCTAGGCGGGGCCTCGACAGAGGGCAGTGTGAGCGCGGCCGAGCCACGGATACGTTCGGAGCCCCTGTCCCTGCGCAGCGGCCTGCACGACGCGCAGAGGCACGGCACCTCCGTCATCGTCTCGCCGGACCGCCGCCTGGCTGCGGTCGTCGACAGCTTCGGCCGCGTCGCCGTACTGGACGTTAACAGAGGACATCTAATTAGACTAATAAAAGGTTGCAGAGATGCACAGTGTGCATTCGTCCAAGTTAGTTTTTCATCTCTTTTTATTGAACAGATCCAAAAAAAACCAGGACAAGTGTATATGTTTGATGGGTTCAGTATATCTTTATACCATACCTTTTTATATTAACCAATGAAAATGTGTAGGAGTCGCCATGGTCGGATGGATAAGATGCCAGGTCTGTCGTCTTATCGAGCGACTATCCCGGTGTTCAAATTCCACACCCAGGGACATAAGTACTCAACACGTGTTCACGATCAACTTCCACGACGAAGGCATAAAAAATCTTGTTATAACAAACTCGTAGAATTTATACACTTGCATAATTACTGGTAGTGAGTTGGTTCCACCATCCTGTCTATTTCTGCCGCGAAGCAGTGATGCGTTTTAGTTAGTTGGAAGGAACAGCCTTGAGACTTCGATTTTGTCTCTCCATATCGATGGCGGCCTTCACGTGTTATCAATAAGTTTCGGTGGCCACTTAACATCAATTAGTCTGTGAGCTTCTTCACCCATATATGCAATAAATAAATAAAAGTGTAGGTCGGCGTATTAGTAGCTTAAAGAAAATTAACGAATTCTTAACAAAATCTATATGATAACATGTTATCATTGGAAAGTACGAGGAGGAATAGTGCTGTAGGTAGACATTACGAACTCGCGCCCAAGCTCTACCGGACAGCCGATCTGTGCTCCGCAATTTCAGTCCAGTCTACTCCCAATTAGTAGTACTTATAAGTACTCTGCGACTGTATAGAGTATGGATATTTAATAAAGAAAACTGTAAAATAATAGCACCAAGAAAAGTGTATGGATTGCCAGAACATTCGACCCTTGGTAATCTTTTATCAAACTAGTAATAATAATAAAGATGATCTCTAAACACCGGTCGCATGATTTCTGTAACAAAATCTATTCATAAAATATTGTAGAAAATGATGATTTATTTTTTCAGATTTTTGAATTAGATAACAAGAAACCTCAATTATCTTTTGTTAAAGAAATAAGAAGGGCAATTTTTTTAATTATCTATAATCCCAAGAAAGGATTAATTGATATTCGTCTAATGCAAAGAGGGAACAGAGTAGCCGTTTTTACGGCTACGAAAAACGGCCAACTTTTATACAATACTTGTGGTCTAGTTGGAGCTGATAAAAATTATACCCAGAAAAAACTAAATTTACCAGAATTTCAGTGTGTTTTACTAGATCCAGATGGAAAGCTCAAAAAATTCAGTATTCCATTTTTTTACGCATTAGATGGTGTACATTCCGAAAGATCGAAAGATTTGAACACTTTGAAAGAATTACGTGATCTCATTAAAAACAATACAAGTAACTCTGAAGATTATGAGCAAAAGCTACTTAGTAAAGTATGCGAAATTAAAACATTAGAATTAAAGAAACATTTTCTAGAAATGCTCATTAGAAATTATGACACGTCTCCAACAATTATAATCTCATGTTTGCAAATATTCTGGGATAGCACAAAAGAGGAATCCGTGAGCAGTCAGCAACGTGAAACTCAACACTATTTTGCCAATCTAGGTTTGCTTACTATATTTTATATGTGCATAAATGACGATTGTGAAAGAGATGAAATAGAATTTGCAATGGAATTGCGTAATTTCCTTGGCTTAGAGGTAAATGAAAGTTGTCTCGAAAAAACAATAGACGACCAGAATGAAGACAACAGTTTATTTCATCTACTAGAGGATGACAGTTGTATTTTGGAAAGATTACTGGTATTAGCACACGAAAACAATTATAAACACCACGCACGGGTAACTTTTGCCGATACAAGTATGACTACGTATAAAAAATTCATTTCCTGTTTTAATTTAGAAGAAAAATCTAAATATATATCCTTAAAGGCCAACGCTTCGGTGGACAAGCTAAATAACTTAGCCACAATAACGTTCACGTCAATATTCAAATTAAAAAACTTTTCAATGTTGGCAAGCTATGTCAACAAATGCAATATCGACCCGAAAGAGATTGTGAAGCTTTTAATAACACATTTCATGAGTATGTCTTTGGAAGAGATAACCATTGACTTAGTCGAAAAATGGACAATGGCCGTATACCACGTGTGTACGGTCACAAAAGACGCTACTAATATTATTTATAATGAAATTTCTCATTGGTGGGAAGACATCCGGAACGTTTTGGTTGAAATGCCTTGTCCCTTACGAAGCATGATAGTTGCAATGGCTTGTAAAGTAATCAGTAGGATTTTGGAAAGTAACAATGCTGAAAGCGACGATGTGTGGGAATCTGTGACCAAAGAAAACGCTAAATGGGGTATTTTAATTGGAAAACTTGAAGATATTTCTATACTCAGTATCGTATTAATGTGTAAAGACACATTTAATGGCAATTCTCTTCCTTCCCTGGAAATGGATGATTTCAATATCAACCTAAAATACATTTATACAAGGGGAAAGGGATCAATTACTGAACTGATTGCCAAGTGGCTATGCAGCATGGGAGCGACTCCTGCGGCGATAGTGGCCAACGAGCTAATGGAAACGATAGCAGCTAATCCTGAACTAACTGATGAGGACGACAATGATGACAACACCACCGATCTCCTGTTTGTTGAAAATAATCGTTATGCCGTTGACGAAAATGCAAGAATATTTAAATGGCTCTCGCTTCTGCGCCGTCAATTCCCTCTCAGTACGTCCGCAAATTATATAATAACCAATATGTGTTGGGAATACGCAATGGCATGGCAGAAATGTATGAAGAATACATTGCTTCTTGATGCTGTTATTCACTGTCTTTCTAGTATATCTGACATTCATATACGGTTAGGGTTGTTTTCAATTATTTGGGCAACCTACATCAAACAAATATTTGAAATTAGTTGCCGTTTAGTTAACAAAGTCGGACGTTTGCCAAAAGACCCTCTTTGCTTACAAGATATCAGTTTCGACAATACAACCTTAATCAACTTCTTCCGCTTAACAACATTGTACTTGAATGATTTTCAAAATTGTTTGAAACTGTCATACAGTCATAATAAAAAGAAGGTGGAATTTGAAAAGATTTGGGAAGAAAGTATGCCTTCTTTAGTTGAAGTAACACAACACACAAAGAATGTAAACGATTGTATATTAACTTTAAATTACCAAGTATCTTGCACTCTGTACTATCAATGTCACTTCAATATCAAATTGTCGAAACCCCTCGATGTATTGTTCGACATCGACTATCATTATATTCTGGAAGCACTTACTGGTAATGTTGTGAATAGAGAAATTAATATGAAACCGTCTGAAAAACTCCGGAATCCACGAATGAAGTTTCTAACCAAACTTATAAGAGCATCTGTAGAAACTATAAGTTGTTCTGATGGTCACGAATCATACAGAACATATGATAGTGGTGACTGTCAAATGTGGATTGAAAAAATTTCCATTCTAGCGAACCTGTGGAGCATAGACGACGAATTCATAAAGAGGCAGCAGGTCTGTCTACAAAAAAAAAATAGTTTAAAAAAACTAAAAAAAATTTACGCTTTTATAGAAAATCATCATGCATCAGCATGGTATCAGTAGCTATAAATATTTTATGAACAGATATAAGTAGAAGATTATTTTTATAATATCTTGAAAAGCACCCTCGCTGTTTTACAATAAAAGCGTATTTTTTTAGTTTTTTTAAACTATTATTATATATTATTTTTCATCTTTTATAATTGTTAACTACGAGTATGATTGATAGTGAGTGATATGATTGAGTATGTGATGTTAATCTGTTTTCAGCGCGTCTTTAAGTAGGTACTGCAACGTGATTGACAATATGCGCTCTGAGATCTAAGATTAAAGTTTCAATTGCATTACATACAGCAACTGTAGCGAAGGGAACAATAGAGAGATTTTCGAATATTTTACCCAGTAGTTCTAATTTTCCTATGCGCGCTATATGCGCTATAGCTGTTTAAGATGTAAAAAAAATGATTCCTAATAATCAATAAAATATATTGCAAAACAGTTGAGGACTAACTACTGCGTAGTGCGTACTCATAATCTCAAATGTTGTTAAAACTTAACTAGCCTAACATCGAGAATTATTGTTGAAATTGAATGAAAATTGAAAATTGTCATGCCAAGTTTTTTTATTTCTTAGGTAATCGCTTTATATCACGTGGGCTACGATACACTAGCAGAAAATACAATGAACTCGATCCGTAATCCTGTGCCAGTGCTTGCCCCAATTTTGGCTATTACGATCCAACGTCTTAAACGAAGCCTAGAACATTCTAATAATCAAGCCGAATGGATTGTCAGTATTCCACCACAACTCTACAAACGTTTGCAAAATACTGTAAGTAACTTATTTCAATTCGAGGAGTGAAAGGCGATTTGGTTTAAGCGACATTTACCTTTGTAAGTTGTAGTTTTATTTGGTATTAGCATAAACAATTCGATATTTTTAATTGAACTTCAATTAAGTTTACCCCATTCAAATAGCTCAAGAAGTTTTTTGTTATCATTTTTTTTCCAAAATTTTAAACTTTAAATGGCTCTCTTGTAAATTGGCAAAAATGTCGCATATACCATCCTTCGATATAATTTTCATAAGGCAAATAACTATCAAAGGTAATGTAGACTACCTTCATATATCAAAGAGTTACTGTCAAAAAGCCATAGAGTGGTACCGTTATACCACAAATACGGCGAAAAACTTTCAGCAATGTCCCATCAATTTCGAATTGAGATGAGTATGGGATAGCATACTACAGTAAGAAAATCTCTACTTCTACAGATTTTATTTAAATGTACCGGTACAAATCTGTTAAAATTAGGAGGGGAACGATTGGGGAACTCTTAAAAATGCAACATATAACACGTAGAACCATCAAAATATATTAGCTGTCGAATTGCGATCGAGTCGAATCAAGAAAAGTAGGACATTTTCTCCCGAGTGTGAAATACATATTATTTTTCTCCTACCAGGCCGAAAGTTCGTGAAGTACCTGGCCGGGGGTAGGGAGGGGCAGAGCGCCCTATACTCATAAAAAAACAATATAACTGTTCTTTAATTTTTAAATAAACTACTACTAATTGAATAAGAATTGTCTGATGAACTCATCTTTGTTTAATACTTCACTACTAAATTTTATTGCCTTTTGTTTATTTCACTTTTACACTAAACACAATATTGCAAATTACCCGAGCACAACAATGGCGGAGAATGTTAGGTGCGTGAGAGCAGACGTAGACACTAACGCGCATGTGCACTTGTCAGTACCCAGGGAGGAAAAGTTACACTTTCTTCCCTGTACAGCGGGAGGGAAACCGAACTTTCGGCGTAGGTAGGAGAAAAATTATATTGCAGTTCGGAAACGTTTAGTTGCTAGCTAGTCATGATAGTATTGTCTACTGTAGAATTTGGGAACCCAATATAAGCTTGTTACGTTGCTACACACTAATCAAGAATCACTTTTATATCGCATACTTTTGTCTATTACACAGTCTTCGTCATGACTTCAAAAAAAGTTATTACTTTCAGGTCCTGGACACATCAATTCCAGCACATCCGTCACTGTCCACCACAGTATTAGTACTTCAAAAGTTGCTGTTTCAATTAAACAAAAAATCTCCTGATCCGGCTCATCTTCAGGATATAAAATTAATAGAGCTGATTATAGAAAACTGTGAAATTATTATTAGACGAAAATTGTAAAAAATTCTGGATTAAATAAAATAAGCAAAAAATATTTACCCAAACCAATCAGACATCTTATAAAATATAATGTTGAATTTTCGATTAAATTGTAAATATAGGATAAATTTAGGATGCATGTACATGTACATATATTCAACAGATTTTTTGCATTTAATTAATTATTCTCATAAATCGAAATAAAATTCGAATAAAATGGAGCACTTTTGTAGTGCAACGCACGCCTTGTTATTGGTCTGACAATTATAAACAAATAAAAAATATTGGTCTATTTGCGTCAAAATAGCAAAGTAAAAAAAACTTTTTGTGAGGGTGCCGCACGAACTGAACGATCGCTAATGCGATGCGACAAACGCTTTAAGATTTGCTTTGCGTTTCATAACAGATAGAAACGAGAGGATTTTGAACCGCATTGACACTTACGATGAAAAGTATTAAATTTTTTGAATCCTAAGTGGTTATTATATTGTTCAGACCTTGGTTCAGGACTTAGGCAATGCCTCAAACGAAAATTTAATCCCAAAAATCATGGTTATTGTTTAGTGGTCTAATACAGTTATAATTAATCACTGCTTCTTAACAAATGGTAACAGCATTACTTAAAGTATTACATGCTAAGAGGAACTGGATGCAATAATGGAGAAGCTCACGAATCTGCGGGCAAACTTGGTTAATGCGCTGCTCCTGAAGAACAATGCTCGACCTCATACAGCACAACAGACGGTCTCTAAGCTACAAAAGCTAGGGTCGGAAATTTTACGTCATCCATCTAATTGTGTGGACAGTCTTCTACTTATTCCAAAGCTTGCTTAACTTTTTGACGGGGAAAATATTCAATACCCGAGAAACAGTACAAAATGCCTTTTTTTATTTATTGCTTAGATGGATGGACGAGCTCACAGCCCACCTGATGTTAAGTGGTTACTGGAACCCATAGACATCTACAACGTAAATGCGCCACCCACCTCGAGATATAAGTTCTAAGGTCTCAGTATAGTTACAACGGCTACCCCACCCTTCGAACCGAAACGCATTACTGCTTCACAGCGGAAATAGGCGGGTGGGGGGGTAGCTACCACACCTACCCGTGTAGACTCCCAAGAGGTCCTACCGCCAGTAAAAAACACTGTTAAGCCTTTAAACACTGTTAGCTCCGGTGCACCTGGCTTCGTCAAGAAGGGCAATAAAAATTACCACTCCACTAGAAGAAATGCATCGGTAACATGGGTCCATAATTTGATTGATAAAATAAAAAATAAATAACGAGGAACAAAATTAAATGATGCAGGGTCGGCCGCCTCCAATTTACGATTTCGTGTATTGTGGGTACCAAATTTATTTCTTTTCTGGCTACTTCAGTTTCTCCTTGACGTGTAGATGATCTCACGGGGCTCAAACCGGAGTATTGCTAACACTGGCCCTAGCGAGGGCAGTGCTTCGCAAAATCTACCACCGGATCGGAAACGCGACCCACTGAGAAGATCCGGCGAGCAACTCAGTGGGCTGTGTCTATGGGTTCATTTACTCGTCGAGCCCTTCGTCGCAAGCGGCGGGTTTGGCGAGCACGGTAACCGATGCTTGTGGTACCTAAAAGCACCGTTAATGGATCAGGAGGATCCGTAATGACGTGCTTAGGGCGGGTACCAAAGACTGACAAAAATATTTATATACGTTTAAATATATACATATTTATATATATTGATAATATACACCCAGGCTTGAGCAAACAATCCTGTTAATCATGTTTGCCCGATGTGGTGTCGAATCCACGACCCTTGGTTCAACAGTCTTTAAATAGTATCTAACTAAAATGGCTACTAAACTATCTAAATACTAAACAGCAACTTCATAGGTAAAAACCTAATATGAGTCGACTATTATCAAAGCCGGCAATCTGACTTTTGGACAATGATTGGTAAATCAGAAAAACGAATTATTGACTTTGTATTCCATTGGCAGTCACAAAACTCTTCGGAACGACATCTTAGATAAATAACAGGTTAAGTATTAACCTTTATTTAATGCAGGTTTTGAACCGTATTCTTTGAAGGAGACGGTTATATTCAAATCAATCTGTATTGACATATCAATAAATTTTCGATCCGTATTGCAATGAGTTTAGGACCATATAAAATCTTAAATACTAAGTGATATCTATGATACTAAAATAAAATGTATACCGTAGCTTTATTTTTTTATATTATAGCCCTTGTAAGCAAACGATAATACAGCCCGCCTGATGGTTAGTGGTTACCTTCGCTCATGGATGTCAGCAATGCCTAGAGTAGATCCAAGCCACCGCCTGGCGTTAAGTACTCCACATGCCTCGTTTGAAGGAGAGGAGCTCATTCCAAGGTCGGTTGGTACGTTGCAGAAATGATCTCTGGAAACGAAACCCCAACCGCACTTGGTTATAAGCGTCATAATCTCATAGGGAAGCGGTAACTCTCAAAATAGAGAAACGTGTTTGTTTGCACGGTTCGGTTGCACGGTTCATGGTTCACGTAGGTCAGTGGGTCACGAACGTGATTGATCCATCAGTCAATTGAATAAGGAAAGAATAATAATAAGGGAAAAAAATCGGTTGTTTGTAAAGTCGGTTTACTGACGATAGTTGAACGTGACAACGTCATAAGAAAATACGCCTCAGAGCGAGGTAACGCCGCATGAGTCATGTTTTTTCGTGCGTGCAGCCGGCTCCATCGAATTAAAAGACGTTGTCACGTCAAAATAATATAAAAAATAATTTTAGGGGTTACCAACAAAATCTTATATCGAGAGGGTGAAATTCCATGGTAAACCGGTTCGGACCGGAGGATCCGAATGTTGTTTAGAACTTATATATATGTAAGTTTATCGCTAAAAATTTCGCTAGCGAGATTCAGGCATTTGTCAAGTATCTTGTTTACTATGTTAGCTACCGCCACAAATTCAATTTTACCGTGGCTGTTCACAAATAGGATCATTTTGACTCTAACATGATGTCTCTGGGTCAAATCCGACTTGGTCTCTAAGAAATAAGCAACTTAAACTTCTTCTTTTCATTAACTTTTAAGCCCGTTATTAACTTGAGATATATTAATCTCATTCGCTGCAATTTTATTTCTCACATTATTGGCATAACGTCATTAACTTTTTAAGGTAGAATGCCGTCGCCTTTCCTATTTTCAAAAAGTGAGTCATAAACTATAGAAGTCGTTTAGTTTGACTACATAAGTCACTTGACTTTTTGACAGCTGTCTAATTGAAAGTTTCTAGGCAATTGTGTTTACTTGCTAATACTGATTATTAGAGAAATCGAATTTAATCAATACCTTTACTGTAATATTTTGAACGCCTAAATATTAACATAATGGCTCCGAAAGCTGGCGGTGATGCTATTAAAGCTAATTCTTCAGTATATAAAGATAAAAGTAAACCTACAGACATCAGACTGAGCAACATAAATGCCGCAAAAGGTACGATACATCTGATATTTCAACAAGGATTTGTCTATTGAATCCGGCGAAAATGTACCACAAACTTTTTCTTTGCTTCCTTCTAGTTGAAAATTGTTTATATTTTGTTAACTTTCATATGTTTTTTTCTTTAATATAATACAAAAAACTTTCTAAAACAACTCTTCTCTCATACAATTTTACTCCGTTTTCTTTACAGTGATTATACGAATCGATTTAATTAATACATTATTCAAATCCAAGTATTCTATAAAGTTAAAGTACCTCTGTATGTTGTATAATTTTTTCTTAACACTTTCCATTCAATCTTTGAAAGAAAATCACTAATTTGAAATTGCAATGCAATGATTGTTTTTGGAATTGCTGAATTACAAACTTTGGAATGTTAGCATTGTTTCAGTGTATTAAAAATTGCTTTTGCTTTTACTGTGTACTTGTTTTTTAAATGAGTATCAATTAACAAAATATTAATTAAGTTTTTTAAAACTAACTTTCCTTTTTTCAGCTGTTGCTGATGCCATCCGCACAAGCTTAGGGCCTCGTGGAATGGATAAGATGGTAAGTGTTTTAATGCTTGGAGTTCCATAAGAAAACAAAAGAATAAAGTTTCAAAAAAGAGCAATCACTCACTGCTTTGCTTGTCAATTAATTTTATAATAATTACAGATTCAAGCAGCCAATGGAGAAGTTACAATAACTAATGATGGAGCAACAATTTTGAAACAAATGAGTGTTATTCATCCAGCTGCAAAAATGGTCAGTGCATACATTGGTTTAAAACAGTAGTAATAAGGGTCTCAGTGTCATAAGTGTCAAAATCTCAATGGGAATTCTGTAAAAAAAATTTGTAAATGGTTTCAAAGAGCTGAAAAACATATATGAGTCGACTATTATCAAAGCCGGCAATCTGACTTTTGGACAATTATTGGTAAATCAGAAAAACGAATTATTGACTTTGTATTTTATTGGCAGTCACAAAACTCTTAGATAAATAACAGGTTAACTATTAACCTTTATTTAATGCAGGTTTTGAACCGTATTCTTTGAAGGAGACGAATAAATTCAAATCAATCTGTATTGACATATCAATAAATTTTTTTTGTCCAAATGCACAGATTGCCACCTTTGATAATAGACGATTCATATATACTATATATGTTTTTAAGTTAACTCTTATTTTGCATTACTCTTTTAAAACTGCATACTGATGAAATGTTAATGTGTTTCTCTAATTTCCTGATATTAAATGACCACATCTTGTATTCGGATTTAGTTGGTAGAATTATCTCGTGCTCAAGATATTGAAGCTGGTGATGGAACAACATCAGTAGTTGTTATTGCTGGTGCGTTGTTGGATTCTGCTGAGAAACTTCTTCAGAAAGGCATACATCCAACTGTAATATCTGATGGTTTCCAAAAAGCCCTTCAATTGGCTTTACAGGTAAACATAATTTCAAATATCTAATCTAAAACATTAAAAAAATTAAAGTAATTTTTAGACTTTAAAAAAATATATATTTGAAAGTTCAAGTAGAGAGCATTGACATCCACAGTACACTTTAGTAACAAAAATGTAAATCAAACTTTTATAGGGTGGGTGCATGCTGTCAATAGTTATAAATATTTTATTGACAGTTTTGAGTAGATTGATTATCATATCATTTTCATTGATAATATCTTTAAAAAAACACCCCACACTTTTAAAATTAACTTTATTTTCTATTTTTTAGGTACTTTTTCTATAAAA